ATTTATTACACTCAAAGCCAATGTCATCATTTGATCACAAATAAAACTTTAGGTAAAATGCAACAACGACCCAATGTCTTCACATGAGAACAAAAATAATCGCCTTAAAAGTTCTAGAAATACGCTCAAAGAGGTGTTATTATATAAGGCACATAAAGTGTTTTGTTCTATCTTTCCTAGAAATCTTTCTAATTAACTCGTTTCGGTCTGGGCGGTAAGCGTTATGTTTATTAAGTTCTCCACCGAGAACATTGAGCGGTATTTGGTTGCATCCTATTTTTGCCTTGGGCCTTACGAGGTTAAATGCGAAGTATTTAAATTCTCACTTTTTGGTTTCGTTTTATTAAATCTTTTTACTTCATTTAACATCTTCTCTTTAATGATGACTGAATTGAATTCCACTATAACCGGTCTAGTCCCTAGAGTAAGTTCTATACACGTCTTTTATGTCCGAATCCTGCAAATTTACGTTCAAATACTTCCCTAATTTTTTTACAGTGCTACATAGATTTTCTTTTGTTTCTTCATTGTTTTTAGGTATGTTTCTTATTTCTATTCCTGAACATCTAGACTTTCGTTCCATATTTTCTATTTTCTCTTGTAGTTGTTGTATAATATATCTATCCTGCTTTTTCTCTGCCTCAAGAACAGATATCCGTGATAAAAACTCATCATACTTGCTTGACATAGTATCAACTCTTTTTTAATTCATCGTTCTGTTCCTTTATACTAGAAACTATAGTTTGTAAATCTTTAAAAAGTTTTGCTTGTTCATTCGTATAAACTGAAAACATTTCACTCATATAAGATATAATATTAGGATTCATTCCGTCCTGTTTCCTTTTTTACGCTCGGTGACATTTAACGTAAGCGATGGAATATCAGGCGCAGATTCACAATGAAGTATCGTCTTCCGTTCCATCGCGTCGATTGCGCGCGTATGCGGTGTATCATCGGAGCTCAAAGGCACGGGCGAGGCGGGCGGCGGCGTGCGGTTGATCGGCATTGTATACCCAACCGGTTTTGAAGTAAAAGACGCCTCAACGTTTAATTATCAGGGAAATATGAGTTAGGAAGTGTGAACACAATGGATTTGCGAACTCGTACCCGTAATGCAACCGTACAAATAAAAATATAACCGTCTCTTTTCTTATTGTGTTGCAAACGTGTGGTGTCTTATGCTGTGTCCTATTTATTTGTTGAGTAAATGTGATGATTTTATTCACACGTATAATTTAGTCTGTTGTAATCACTTCCGTAGATGTCACTAGCACTTCGTAAACCTCCTGGGGCTTTATGCACTCCTAATATGTTATCATTATTTTGTCACAACATTTATTAGAAAATACAAGTACTATTACTTACTTACTATTACTATTACAACAAACGATAAACACGTCTTTACTCTGTGGAAGTCCGGGGGAAGGTGACAAAGGCGGTGCACTTGGAGTTAGTGTCCGACCTGTCCAGCACCGCTTTCCTTGCTGCCCTGCGAAGAATGTCAGCACGTCGCGGAGCCCCGTGTCACCTATATAGTGACTGTGGAACAAACTTTGTCGCCGCCAACCGTGCTATGCAGGAGGAGTAAGAACAGTTGCGACAGATATTTGATGACAATTTCTTGAGTGTGCTGGCTAACATAAACATTGAGTGGCATTTTAATGCCCCTTCATGGCCGAGCGCTGGGGGGCTCTGAGAAAGAGCTGTTCAGAGCCTCAAATTCCACCTAAAGCGAGTCGTGGGCGAACAGCGGCTTACGTTAGAAGAATATTCTACCATCTTAGCACAGCGGGAGGCGTGCTTAAACTCCCGGCCCCTGTGCTACTTAGAATATTTATCGCCGGCGCACTTCCTTACTGGACGAGCAGGATTAACGATCATTCAAACTACCGAAGACGCTAGAACCAGATGGCATTTAACAACTGAAATATTCCAACAAATATGGAAGAAGTGGAGGTCAGAGTACTTGTTAGAACTAACTGTAAGAACCAAATGGCTTCGACCACAACGGAACATAGGAATTATGACAACCTGCCTGCTGGGAAGTGGCCTATGACAAGAGTGGTCGAGTTACATCCCGGCAGCGACGGCCACGTTCGAGTTGTAACTCTTAAAACGGAAAAGGGTTACATAAAACGACCTATTGTAAAACTGAGTATTTTACCAATTCAAAAAGCAAGCAGTGACAGCGATAGCAGCGAACAGTTGCAAGAAAATAAAACAAGAAACAAGAGGTCAATAGGTCATTCAAGTTTACACTCCATCGTTATGGCTCTACTATTTTTTACAACATTGGTGTCTACGGTGAATGGAACAAGCAACATAACTCATCTGAATGAAAAACAAACATTGTACTTTAACCCGTTGGCCAAACTACAGCTTCTGAGAGATCAATGGACCCTAGTAACGTACTATGAGATGGAACCCTTTTGGGGCGGGACAGAAGCATTCAAGAAATTATTAGACTACATAGAAAAAGCATGCATAATTATGGATACAAACAACAAATGTAACCTGATTGTTCCACAGCTACGTCACGAGTATACGGAGTGACAATACTATAATCAGCTGTTGCTGACCCAACATTTTACCGAGCGCTCCAGACGGCAACGACGCGGCCTTATCAATGGGGTCGGTTACCTGGCTAATACATTGTTCGGAGTATTGGATGAGCGATTCGCCGAACAATATACACGTGACATTAACTTTTTAAAACAAGACCAAGCCCATCTTAAAAGGTTGTGGATCAATCAGACATCTGTGGTAGAATCCGAATACAACTATCTGAAACGGTTGGAGGGAATTATGGATAAACAACATAAAGCTATAAATAGACAACTAAACAATCTTGGTGAGGCTATAAAGACACTACAACGAGAAGTAATCGAAGTCGATAAGGAAGAAGATTTCACTATGTCGGCAATTATGGCTACCAATATGATCCATAAATTGAAAGAAATCCAGGCAATGATATTTACCAAGGCCAGTTCAATTTACATTTGTTGACGCCACAACAATTACAAGAACAACTAAATATTATTGCCGGATTATTAACCAAAGACTTAACACTGCCAGTTGAAAATATACATACAGATTATCACAACTTATACAAACTCATGAAGACCAGAGCCAGGATAACAAAGGATTATTTTATATTTGAAATTAAGATTCCGTTAATAAGCCGTGAATCCTTTAATCTGTATAATGTGAACTCCATCCCGAAGAAAATCGGCAACTACGTCTTAACAACATCACCAGTAGCTGAGATCATCGCAATCAATCTCCAAAGAGATAGCTACTTACCTATAACTCAAGATAACTTGAAGGAATGTGTCTCATGGGATGCCAAAACATTTATGTGCAAACTACAAACTCCAGTATTTAAAATGAAATCAGATAAAGATTCGTGCATCTTAGACAGTACTAAACCGCGTGTAAGAACAAGTAGACTGGGTTAACTGCAATGAACACTTACCTTTATTTTTGTTGCGAACAATGTCAGCTGAGAATAATATGCGGAGATCGTGTTTCCGCACACCGCCTGATCGGTATCAACGTCATATATCAAGACGACGAGTGCGTCATCAAAACAAACGACTTTACGATTTATGGACATAGAAATTTTGAAAGCAAAATGAACCTTAATTACGACCTACAAATGCCAAATATAGCACCGATATATCATATAATAAATATATCGTTAGACCACTATTTAGATGACAATGATACTGTAGCCGAACTCACATTGTTTAAGAAGGACATAGAAGAGAAAATTAAATCATTAAAACAAAGTAATGTGAATGATGGACAAAGTGTATCATTTCATGATATACACCACTACGCTTTAATTTACTACCTCGTCGGTGTTATTCTTCTGGTGGGAGTGGTAGCAGCATGGCGTAAGGTGCGACGGAGTTGGAACAACCCTAATGTAGACCCGACAACGGAAGAACAGCGCGGCTCGCCCTCATCGCCGCGAACCAGCATCTCCGCATCACAACAAGATATTCAGATGGTGGACATGAACATTTCATTATTGCACCAATTTGATTTTTATTTCAGACGAGAGTATTTTTTTCTGATATATTTTAGATTTTGCCCACGAAATTATGGCGACAATACCAAATCTAAAAAGAATATAGTATCATTTTAACATTAACGCCCTGTATGAGAGTACCTTTTATGTTAGAAAATGAATGCTAAACTTTTAAGTCATCTCAAAAATGACAAAGTTGCCAGGTTTCACGGTACTGTACATACTTTCGACATTCTATAATAATCCACTGCTGAACATAGACCTCCCCATACATTGCCTCATGAAGGTAGTTTGCCATAGTTGCCTCGCTAAGCAGGCGGGTTGGCAACCGCAGTTTTTGTTTCACGTTTCCGACTGTCGCCTCTTACGACACCCACAGGATGGTATGCGGTAGTGAATATTCTTACGCCGCCACTACACGTACTGTAAGCAAAGAAGTAAATAACTAACGAATCAAATAAACATCTTGTGCTCAAATACTCAAACGCTGCTCAATTTTAAGATACCGTTAAATCTCGTGCTGTCTCTTTCACATTAAGTCAAAGTGACAGTGACACCATGAGACTTAACGACATCTTGAAATTGAGTAGCGTTAGCGTTTAGCTAATCTCTTAAATGGGTGAACCTATTGTGATGAAACCTTACGAACAGATGGGGAGCAATGCAAGTAAGGATATAGGCTATAATTAATCTAAAAAAAAATGATTTTTATTAAACCACAAATTACCCATATATATGGTTATGGTAGAATGGATTATCATAAATCTAATTTATGCCACATTAATAGACTGCTATGATGATAGATAGGCCGTAAGAAGATAGTATTGCTAGTAAGAAATAAAAGTATTGTTTAACATTAAACGGAAACCGACTTTAACTGACAGATTTTGATTGTATCAAATACTCAATGGTTATTTAAAAGCTGTAACAATAAGTCCTTCGTTAATATGTTTTTCCTTTTTAGGTCAACAGCTCCCAAAAGTGCCTTTATTGACCTCCGGTCCAAAGCCCTGCTGACTGACAGGCTGCCGACCCCTCTGTGGCTCGTCTTCTGCGCGTCTTTCTACACTTACAGAATGTTAAGGGTAAGTTTTACTGTTTACGTTGATTTTTAAAAGTATTTAATATTTAAAACTAAGCATATCGAAAAAACTGAATCCTGTATTTTTATGATGATCATTATTAGAATGAATCCCCCCCTAGCAGTAACATAGCACATTAGATTAAAGGAACGATTGACTTTTGATATGCGGTAATCGATTTAGAAAGTGACTCAACAATCTATTATGCCTCCTCTACACTACTAGCGATGTTACCTCGATGAAGTGCTTGTCAAAATCAATCGCAGTCCGAAGAATGTCACTACACACTCGTGCAACGTCGCGAAAAGCTCAGTCGCCTGGAGTCGCTCGTACCCTAATAATATGAATAACGTTCAACAGGCAGCTGCTGTAGGTACATAATTATGTGTGGAATAGTACGACGCCAACTGCCGTACACCGATTAGTGTAGTGAGACGCTAAGTGTAACTTTCTTAGACTCGGGCGCAAAAAACCGACAGCGATCGGAAGTCACTCGAGGCGAAGCGAGGTTGCACGAAGCGAATCGAAGTACCGCTCTACATTATTCTCTTCGCTCAACTTCGATCAATTTCGCGTGTAGAGTGTTTCACTGTAATTCACAGCCCTTATAGTTTTGTTGCGAAGTTATTATTCATTGCATACGTTTCTTTTATTTGACCGTATTCACTTCAAAGGATATATAGTATGGGAGTTGTAGATCTGTATATTTTATAGATATACGAGTATTAAAAACACACAATAACAAGTAAGTACGTGATTGTTGTACTTAAAGTTTATTAGATATTGGACTGTTAGTACTTCGTGGGACAGAGACCACGCTCTACAAATATTGTTATAGTCGATAGTCTCTTTCTAAATCCCTATGATTTTTTAAATTATTGAATAAGGGTGACAAATGAACCCATTCCACCTGATGGCAAGTTATTTTTTTATTTTATTTTTTTCTTTTAAAACAAAAATAAAATGCATTTTGATTCCGTATCGAATCGAAATGCATTATCACCCTTGAGGATTAAGATGAAATGTCGATTAAAGGGGTCATTTGCCGGCGTGCATTATATCTAACTTAATTCGATTGCATTCGGAAGATCAATTAATCGATTAATAAATGACTTACCCTCCTAATTTATGTAATAATATTACGCGAGAAAATGTTACGACAAAATTAAAAACTTATTTCCTACTTAACACTGATCTTGACACTTAGAAATGAACTTAACAAGTATCTAGTTATTTAATTTCCTAAATCATCAAAATTATAAATTTAACCCGATTTTAAAACTATTTGTAACACAATGTAATTTTACGTATATTTTCTACCGACTTCAAAAAGGAGGAGGTACTGAATTCGACTGTATGTTCTTTTTTTAATTTATTGTGGCAACAGACAGTCATATTTCTTAATATATAGCTTACATTTTACATTTACATGTGACAAAAAAGACCAAATAGTGCCAATAAATCTACATTAACAAACCATATTATTTACATTGTGAGACAACATAGTCGGGCAACAATTTTACTGCAAAAACTTTATTAAATTTGTTTTCAGAAGATTAGAACTAGTGCTAAAAAGATCTATTTCTGAAAAATGTTTGTTATACATGTTGGTGGAACGACATGTAAAAGAGTTACGTGTATAGTTTTTATGAGACCGAGAAGGAATGAATAGTGGTAACGAACGTGAGGAATGTAGTAGAGTGCACAGGAAAACGAACGCTTGCTGTAAATGAAATCATAGACAAAAGAGGCGGTGAATCTATTAATGAATTTAGAATTTTATATAGAAGAATAATGTCAAACATTTTATGTCTGTTAAAAAGACTTTTTGTGCCTGCACAAAGCTTAGAACGAATCATATAATGATATTATTTATTTGATAAGAGGGGCTTCATACTGTGCTGTAGAAATCATAGCTTGAACTTACAAAAAAAAGTATAACAGTTTGAGAGTAGTACCCTTATTAAATGGTTTTGTTATTCTTAAAATAAAACTCAAATTTTGAAAAGCTTTACCTACTTATAATATAGTCTATATGAGAGTTAAAAGATAATTTTGAGTCTACTATTAAGCCAAGATCTCTTGTTGTGGTAACCCTTTTTAGAATGATGCCATTCAAAGAATATTCCAAATTTATTTGGTTAACTTTTCGTGAAATAGGTAGCACGTGACATTTGTCAGTATTAAGATGTAATTGATTCGGAACACAATATTTTTCTAAAGCAAGCAAATCTTGCTGCAGTTTGAGACAGTCGGCTCTTGACTTAACAATATTATATACTTTGGCATCATCAGCGTAAGGAAGATGTTGACTCTCATTTAATGTTTGTCCAATATCATTAATATATAAAGAAAACAGGAGTGGGCTAAGATGAGATCCTTGAGGAACACCTGAAGGTACAGGTAGAAATTTTGAGGTGAATCCCTTAATACAAACGGCTTGACTTCTATTTTTTATGTATGATTCAATCCATCTAAGGAGGTTACCATGTACACCTGCCTCTGCGAGTTTTGCTATTAGTAAACTGTGGTCAATTTTGTCAAAGCCTTTAGAGAAATCAGTGTACATGACATTCCCACTTCTTGATTATCATCCATGGCTCTTCGCAAATATTTCGTGAAAGTTATTGATACGGCCCACAGCTGCCCCTGCAAAGGTCACCTTGGCTAGGGCCCATAGTAGCCTCTTCGACGGGCAGCCGTGGGTACGGGCCCAAATGGCCTTATGGAAAATGACCTATCATACTACAAAATAAGGAGAAGGCTAGGAAGATAATGGTACGTACCTGCATCCGAATCTAAGACCGCCCCAAGGCTCGGTCAGGTCGTAGGTAGAGTATGTGCATGTAAAGTGATGTTTATTGGTGTGTATATGAGGGTGACCTGGCCCAGCTGAGGTGGCCTGGCAGCGCGACGGTTTCCATGCTGCCCCACAATGCTGCATCACTCTAGCAGGCGTCCACCATGGACAGTTTCTTTCTTCATTGTCACTATTCAGTCTATTAACTTTATTGTACATTTAACTAACTTAAACTCGCCTAATTCCACATTCATCGTAGAATCGAACACGTGATACTCGACACAGTAACGGACAATAGTTCAAAGTTCATTAATTAATGTCCCGGATTCATTTATCACCAAATTACTGAGTGAGTCACACGGTTCTGCGTTAAACACAACTAAGTTCCTTCGTTCGATACTAAACACCACGCCGCAATAAGAATTCAAAATTAACCTAGCTGACACGTAAACTGGCTACAGAGTAGACACACAAAAGGCTCTTAACGCGACGGTATAATTAAACAATGATTTTCAGAACACTCAACCGGGAGACGCCCTCGAAAAAAAGAATGCGCGGTTCGAATTCTAGACCGTATATCTACTCGGCGCGCGCGTGCGAAATTCCACGTCACCCGAGCAAGTTAAATATTGCAAAATGCACTTCTACACGCAATCACTATATAATTTCCACAATTACTTTCACAGAAGTTACTTTAATCAGTCAAACACAATACAAGTCTCTTGTCAAAAACTTAAACCCTAGACAACCTAATCCGAGGCGGTTTTCACAAAACCCCAATTGCGTAGCGAAGTAACACGCACTAAATCTAACAATCTAGACCACACACCGGTCGCGCGAAACTTCTGCAGCGATAACCGAGATACGCGGTTTATCCGCACCGGTGCCAGCGAGCTACTGTCTCTCCTAGCCCAGCGCCGGAATCACTGGAGCCGGGATACCACCACCCCCGCACCGCGCCTCGCGTGACACCTAACACCATCGGGCGATTCACTAAGTCGAACATGATTGGGTAGCGTCTCATATTACCATTTTTGGGCCTAAACAGTTATCATATTCGTATCAACACTTCTGCCCTTGAAAAATTGATGTTGTTGTTGGAATATATATTGAAGAACAGAGAGCGATAAGTAAGTAGTAATAATTTTCTTAAGAACCTTCTTCAAGACACATAATTTCGAGATAGATTTATACTTGGTTACTATATCTTTGTTATTATTTTTTGGAATAGGCGTTATTAAAAGTTGTAAGTGAACTTTGACTACTTGGGTAATCTTGGTAACTAACATTGCTTACGGTTGTAAATACGGAATGGAAGTATTCATTGAAGGCATTACAAATATCTATACCACCAGAAATAACTTTACCTTTGTACAACATCTTTTCAGGAAAATCCCTAGTGCCATTTTTTGATTTTATAAAAGACCATAAAAACTTAGGATGTGTTTTTATATCTATTTGGAAAGTTCAATAAAGGTTTTATAACAGTCATGCAGCATTTTTTTGAATTTGCTTCTTAATAATGAAAACGTTTGATAGTCACTCATGTTGCCGTATACTTTCCATTTTTCATGGTATTTACATTTTTCCTTCGATAATTTAACAAGGGGCTTGGTATACCACACGGGGTATTTTAAATTACAATTAAAATTACAAGTGGGAATATATCATTTAAAGTATTATAAAAGTAGTTTGTCATGCATTCCACATCGGTCATATAACTAAACTTTTCTTCCCAGTTTTAAGATTTTAAGACTTTTTTTATAGATACGAAGTCAGCTTTGTGAAACTGTTTTTTTTTTGTACCTTTGCATAGAGTGAGTGTAGTTATGAAAATTATCATTAAGCCAAGTTGCTGTTACACATATTATACCTACCATAGTTATTACAAAGAACAGTTTCTAAAACAAGGGTTCGATTTAGTGTATAGTCCACTCACGTTTGGATAGTAAAGAGAAAGGTTAATGTTATCGTATTTTGTAGTATAGTATATATTATAGATATTTATTAAAGTTCCACTAACATAGAAAATATCTAGCAATAAATATAAACACTTAGGACTTATGACAAAAATGTGTGTTATCTAATAACTTTTTACTGAGTGAACCGATTTTAATGATTTTTCCGAAAGTTGGTGTTTCTTATGTGGTTCCATATATTTGTCAAGGTTTGACTACAAGTTTTTGAGTGATCCTTAATAATTCATATCGAAGTCGGTTGTACATGATTTTTAATTTTACCACTTGTTTTGTTTTTAATTATTTTTTTATGGAAATATCGATGTATGTAGATGATAGCAATATTTACAAACCTTTGTGGTTTATGGATGCTATTTTTGAAAAAAAAAAAGAACATATTTATTTATTGGCGCAACTTGCAGAACATACATTTTACAATTGTTTTAACTGAGTATTAAAAATGGATTGCAACAACAAGAATGCTACAGACTCAGCATAATAGGGTTATTATAGTTTAAATGAATACATGGTTGATAATAACCCCTGGGAATGAGGTGGTCGCTTCCAAGCAGTTTCTAAAAGAAATTTTGTAAATAGTTCGTAATCATTTATATTGTAAAATTTATTTTAAAAAGAAGTCCCGCTGGTTCTTGCTGGTTCTTCCCAGGACAGAGGGTTTTTTTCGAACCAGTGGTAAAGTAAAAAATGACTTTCAATAAGAATTACACATGTAATGTATATTGAATAAAAAATATTCTATTCTATTCTATTCTAATACAATAACAGAGTTACTATTGGTTGTGTCTGCCGGAGTCAGATAAGTCGACTCTAATCAGGCACCACTAAGAGAATTTAATTAAAATTAACATTACACATAATATTTTTAAGTAACATATATTTTGTTATGCACATTAAACTGGCTAATTTACTCTATGCTACGTTCCTGTAGTCTATGTATTTGTGGTGCTAAGTCTGTTTTAATATTAATCTATGGCACAAACTAAAAAAAAAACATTTTTTAACATTTTACTTGTACTATTGTATTCAAGATGTAAATGATAAATAAATAAAATAAAAGTAGTGTGAGGTTAATCGTGGTGAGATTGTGGTGCAGTGGTGCGTGGGGCTGGGCGCGCACGCCGACTGGCTGGAGCCGCGCGCGCGGCTCGCGCCCGGCCTGGCGCGCCTCGCCCACCTCGTCGACACCGGACACCTCGCACCCACTTTGGATAAGGTATTTATTATATACACGCATTTATTTTTCTACTAGATATTTAACGTAATAGAGCCACTCTACTGTAGAGCTCTACATCTATATTATGTTTGTAGTACGAAAGGGTCGACTCGACCAGGAAAGAACCACGCTCTCACAGAATACCGGCCTGAAATAGCAGCTTAATGCTGCCGTGTTTCGTATGGTGAGTGTAGCGAACCGGAGACCCTTTTTAGTGGAAACGAGGCAATCCATCTTCGTTCACAGGGGTAACAACGCAATCTGCATTTTGATTCTTAGTCGAATATGGATGGCTATGGATCACAACATCCACTTACGATCAACTGGACTTTGTGTTACCTCGTTACATACACAGCACAGCTGTTAAAACAGTTGGGCACAATTTATGTACAAATAAACACTTTTGGCGAGACTAATTTCCATAAATTCATCAAAACCGTCTCTACCAATATATCAGATTTAATAAACCACAAATCCTTACCAAAGAACACCGATTCTTTCCAAAGATGATTCGCGAGTTTATTAAAATCAAAAAACATTTTTATTTCAATAGAGAAGATTACTGGATGCTAACATGTATATGGTGCACCCATCTTTTTACTGTAGGGCGGGGCTGTGGTGTACAACATCCCAATTTCAACCAGATGACACTAGGATATTGACCCCCCTAACTATGAGTGCTGTAAAGTGTTCGAAACGTCGAGAATATAGAATAAGTTAATATAGGCGATAAAATCCGTAAAATCTAGTTTAATTTAAATATTTGTGTAAACATAAGAAATTATCATTATACAGTGTTTTTTTTTTAATATTAGTTAATGTATAAAACGCATCCTTTAATTCCAGGTGTATCTTCCCCAAGACTTCGAGACAGCTTTGGCGCATGCCTGTAGTGATGAAGCTTTTGGCACGACGGTTATTCGATTTCCATAATACTACGAACAATTCCTGCAAAAAAGAAGCAGAATAGAACAGAAGATAATGATTGAATACCTTAAAATAGACAACCGGTTGCTAAATCTAAGAAAACAGTAATTTAGGTCGGGCAAAGTTGAAATTATGTAAATGCGTTTACGTGTTAAAACAATCACTACTTGTTTGTTATCAGTCAGTTTTAATGTTAAAATTACATAGCTAATACTTACTGTCCACCGTAAGTGTCTAGTGCAGCCCGTGCATACATGGAACCGACTTCAGACAGAGAAGGACACGCATTCATGTCACCCTTGATTACTGGGTTGAAATACTTCAAAGTCTGTTTTGTAGCTGGTCTCACCCTTCACAGCCTATCAGAAGAACATCTAGGCAGGAAACGAGTCCGACCGTCTAGTACTTTTATTTGTATCAGTGAGAGACCTTGTGTTAGCTTTTAAAATCCTTGTGTCACTATCTGTATGAACTCTATCCCTTTCTTCATCATACAATTAAGAAATCTTTCGTCAGTATGTTTCTCTTTTTCTTCTAAACAGAAATCCTCAAGAAACGGTCTGTAAATGGCCCGCAGTTGGGCGCAAGCATTTCATTTTTGTGTGGCTAATGGAGCCGGAGTAGGTCACTCAAAGCCACTTCCACGTATCCCACATGTCCGACTACTACATTTAAGAAACGTTTCGTTCTTCGTAACGAGCCGTTTTGTTAGGAAATTGGAATGTTTGTGATATTTGTATTGTAGAGCGGGAGCGTAAGGGAAAACGAAACGCTTCTTAAATATAGATATTCAAATTTACAACATTCAGTTTCAATAAAAGATACCAGTTACCACAGTAATAATAATACAGCCGTTAAACACACTAATGAAACAAAATACAGCTGTCTCTGTTTTAGTTATATAAGGGTGACAAACGAGTAAACAGTCCACCTGTTGGTAAATGGACGTTGTCAGGTTATGACTCATAGACACATATATATACACGGGCATTTGCTGACGTCAATATAATAAGAAGAATAAATGGCAACAAGGTCGCAGTTACGTTATTGTAGTAATGGAATTTTTGAACCTTAAGTTCTTGTGTTAAGGTTTATTTTATTATTATTGAAAGAATATGTTACTCATTAATGTAAGGGACCTAAGCCTTTATGTTTTCTATGGACTCTTGTAAATGGCTGTGCATCTACCCTCGATTAAGAATCGAAATGCAGATGCGTTGTCACAAAAAGGGAAGAACTCCTCGTCGCTCACCATACCTAACAAAGCATTACTTTACGTTAGTATTCTGGGAGTCTTTCCTCCGAACTAATCCATTTGCTGCAGCTATAATATAGTTGCAGCAATTCCTCCTATATCTATTCTTTCTCTCTGCGACATTTTGTTCTCTTCCATAAAAATTGTATATGGCTCGGTAACGTAGTTGCTAAGTGGTTCGCTGCCGGATGTGAGCTGCGGGTTCGAATCCTACCACAAGGACCAAGTATTTGTATAGTTTAGAAATAACTGTTCTGTGTCTAGATGCTTATCCATGTACAATTTCTGTATGTAAAACACCTCTATGAAACAGGAGTAAATTCTACTAAAAATAAATAATATTCCTTTTTACGATTGCATACATGATAAAATTTAATCCTAAAAATTTACTTACTCTAATTTATAGGATATGTTTTAGACCAGTTTATCAAACGAATAAAGCCGAACGCAACAAGATTTTTATAATGTACGATTTAAAAAAAAACTTTGATATACGTTTACACATGTAGCTAAACGAATGTATACAGATATCACATTTTATATGTATATATGTAAATAACACTCACACTTACGTATACGTACACGCACGTGCGCAAATATGCGTGCGATATATACACACATGTGAAGATAAATTTCTTTATAACAGAGAGGATTTCTATATTAGTTTGGTTTGAAAATTGGTGTTGGTTATTGGTGGTTGTTCCTACTATGATGGGTTCGTGTCAGAGGACTGGCTACGGGCTGATGGAGACGTTTATTCATTTGAAAAAGCTTAAGAGCCCTCTTACATTTCGGCGTTACTTAAATTTAGGTAGTTTATCACAATAAACCACATTTTGCTATAATAATATTTTCTTGTTTGCTCAATTGTGCCAATGCTACAGACTCGTTGTCCCTACCATGTTTGATGGAAGAGACGTGATCTAGATTATAACTATATAAAATAGTATTAAACCGATCGATCAAAAACTGCGGTCGTAGTTGACAATGCTGTAGCACGCACACAATTGCAGTGCCTATACGGCAATCGACGCACACTACGGTAGTATCGAAACGACGCAGCGCGCGAAATCAACTGACGCAGGTCCACCCGCGGCAAGCGCTCGCGCGTTAATGATCGCAGATGGCCGGTGCACTGAAATATATACTACTTTTATTTCATTCATTAAAATTAATAATAACAATTTAAAAAGTAAAAATAATAGTATAGTTTAAGCAAATGTTCATGATTATTTTGGTATAAATTTTACGTAAAAATTTTGTAGAACTCAGAAATATTGAGGCTTGTATCGAAGCTTTTTCGGTCATTAATTGAATTATGTCGATTTTTTTTTCCTAGCGTGAAAGGCATATAACAAATATGTATTCTATGTTTATTAAAGTGTAGGATATTTTGGAGATAAAAATATTTTTATGGTCGATATTTAGTCGAAGTTAGAGCTCCCAAATCATGTCTTCGCGAGTTTTTGCCTAAACATGCTTCGGGAAAATGATTTGCATTACTAAATAAATAAATAAGTTGACTAAAATTCGCTTTGAGCTTATTTTAGAAGAGAAAACGAAATATTTTTATCAAGTAATTGTTATTTCAAGCAACGAACGATAAACATACAATTCCAACGAGGAAACCTTGTAATTTCGCCTTTTTTGTAACACTACTCTTAACGAATACCCACCTCTTTTGATTGTCTCACAGGGGGATAGTGATGTGTTGTGTGATTGCCTCGTTGGTCTAGTGGTCGTGAACACGAGCGCTAATCATTAACTCCTGGATTCGAGTCCCGGGTCAAGTCGGTAAAGAAGCTCTCAGTAGCTGCCCGGAGTCCAAAGTTGGCGGTTATCATCCACGTGCCTAAGCAAGCACGTCCGACAATCGGCACACGTATACATGACTCAGTATACTGTGTACAGAGCGTATATATTGTACACACATATTAAACATATACATGTATATCTCGTATAACAAAAAAAAAACGTAGGACCTAAGATGCTTTACACGTTTCCTGTGTAACATTGCGTATTTAAAACAAGATGCATAATACAGATATTTAAAAACTCCCTCGGATACTCACCTCACTATGTCTAGAGCGTCTATAATACGTACGCTCTGTACGTTAAGTACATTAAAAAAACAATTTTGCAAACGGATCTCACCATACTCGTGAATATTTTTGGTTCTGTCGTACAACTATTTTGCCCATGTCAGTAATTGAAAATTATCTTTTACAATAATTTAACTAAACACTTCAGTTTATATTATGCGTCACCTTGAGAAGTTTTTGGGAGTTTGATGACGATGCTTTACAGAACCATCGGAACACTTGTTTCGCCGTTTCCAATAATGGTTCACATACGCAAACATTCGATACACACAATCACAATACTTTTACATATCAAAATCCACCACAAATCATTATTATTATATAAATGGTTAGACAAGAGCAACAATCCACCCGCCAGGATATCCTTTATGCCTCCTTCATTCTAATATATAGAAAGAGTCATCTTTATTTGATTTGACCCGTTACCATAGATTGCCTCAAGGGGGGGTTTGCCACTGCAATTTATTTATTTTTTAGTTGTTAATGGGCTGCTGCCCATCTCCTCGTTCATTTCCCTCTGTCGCCTCTCACCACACCCACAGGAAGATGCAGGGTAGTGGATATTCCTACACCGACTACACGGTCAACCTGTAAGTCCTAACTTCACAGGATCATTTCTATAGTAAGTTCTTCACCGAGACCTTTATATTATTTTACATTCTATAAAATTTAAAATACAATAATTACAGAACACCAGGTAAATAGTTATTCAATGTGACTAACTTAATATATAGTTAACAAAATGTGACTCCTATGAATTCACGTAAATATATTAATAATTATTATCAATAATAAAATAATGATAAAAAGCAGATGTCTGTCTGTTGCAGGAAATTATTACATTAAAAATTATTTAGTCTTCTCGGAAAAACCTTTATAAAAAGTTTTTATTAATTTTATGTAGTATTGTAAGGATACCGATACACTATACCGATATATCGGTGACATAGCTCATAGCAACCGTTATCTCATTTTAATAGGCGTGCGTTACGTGTTACGTAAAAAAACGGATTTAAAAAATTGGAGAAATATACTTGAACTCAGTGTCATCAGAAGTAGTGTTTTCCTCTTCCATCATCCATCCATCTTCCATCCTAGTACTTAATACATGCTCTTTTTGTACAAAAATTTATCGAAGTTAAATGTTAAGTCGAAAACGCAGCTTCAATTATATTTAACAATTTACAATTTTTATTTCAATTTCATGTGATGATGAATAATATTATGATCATACTATGAATCCACCCCGGATTCGAGCGGGTAATTTCTGGATCTCGACAACAGCGCCACCTGCCGGGTCCAGCTGTGAACCTACACCATCCAAAAACCCACTCATACACAAAATATTTCATCAAAACGTTTCGACCGTTTAGGAGTTCAGTGACGTAAAGATTAATATAGTTTCTGCTTTTTTCGGTATCGTATCGGTATCGCTGATTATTTATAATCCGTTTATATTTATTATAAAAACCTCCAAATACCTGAAAACACCCTAATTACAAAATTAATAGAAATTGAAGACTGCTCGGAAACGATGTTACTAAACAGATCTGTAAATATATTCATACTTATGTCATACTATTATATAACGGTAGATTTTATAATTTTAGGGAAATCTTTGCGCATAATACGTGTATCCCATACACTGC